GTGGCAGCAGTGGCGTCTGGCGATGAAAGTGCGTTGGGGTGGCGTTTTGGCGTGGACAGAGAGGAGCGTTGTCGCGCACTGCAGCGGCGTAGCTCATAGCTTCCGGCTCAGGCAGTGGTGCTTGAAGAATCCGAAGCGATTGCCGAACTTGTTCTCGCACAATGTCGGTGATCGAATCCACTTGAGGCTGCGCGGAAGGCAATACCTTGCGCAGATCTCACCGCACGATCGCTCGGATCGTTTTACGCAGGGCTTCGGAGTAAATGGTCTGAACAGCAGCGCAATCTGGAGTCAGGCGACGATTATACTGTCTGGTGCGCATGACCAGGGTCTTCTCGATAGTGGTCGCTTCGGCTACAACTTTTTGGACGGTGTTCGGTGGATTTCTCATCAGTCCCGCGAAGAGCTCCTGTTTGACCCCTCGCATGAGGAAACGAGCTTTCTTCTCCTCAGGCATCTCTGGGTCAGCGTGACGGAATAGGCGCGTCATTTCTTCTGTGAAAATGGCAACATTTTCATTTGTAGCTGATCCCGGGTCTCTAGTAAAGCAGCGGCCCTCTCTTTGCGAGCGACGCTCGTGAACATTTGCAGGAATGCGCCGCCGAAGACCTCCCACGTTTGAAGCGCGGACTCACAATTTTCGAGCCAGGTCCTTGCGGTGCCTTCTAGGTAGAAGTACACACGACGGAGCTTTTCTTCATTGTCCCAGTGGTTGAGTGTAGCCACACGGTCCTATGTTTCTAGTCAGGTCTCCTGGTCTTCGAACGATGATCCATGGAAAGTTGGTGGTTCCCTGGATTGATGAATGGCGATCGCGGGCTGGGACGCTGTGTTCGTCATTGTCGCTGCAGTCGAGGTCATGGCCTTGGCCTTCCATGCCTCGTCTTGTAGAGGCCCGTACTCCGGTGGCAGACCTTGCTGTCGGCGCCGACGCCGCGACGACGACGCGACGGAGCTTTCCGAACACAATGCCAACCAGGCAAAGCCCTGACGGCGAAAGCTCACTTACCGGAGGTGGCCTGACGACGCAACATGGAAGCAGCGGAACAAGCCGACGCAGCCATGACCCGACGCCACGCCGTAACTGTAATGCAAGACGGCGAACTAGCGACCTCGACGTTCTTATCGACGGCCACAGTGTGACCGCTCTCGTCAATACTGGAGCCGACTATTCTGTCATCAGTGGGTCGTTCGCGGCGAAGTTAAAAAAAGTTAGGACAGCTTGGAAAGGCCCTGAAATCCGCACAGCCAGAAGTCATCTCGTAACGCCTGCAGGAATCTGCACAGCGAGAGTCACCATTAACGGCCGTATTTATCTTACAGACTTCGTAGTCCTACAGCGCTGCTCGAGAGATGTCATCCTTGGCATGGACTTCTTAAGCCTCCATGGTGCTGTCATCAACCTAAGAACAAAGTCGATAACGTTATCCACAGAAGAAGCACTACCGCCGCCCACGCTGTCAGGAAACCACGCCTTGAATGTCCTGGAAGAACAAATCACCCTTCCGCGTCGCTCCAGCGTCATTATTTCAGTCGGCGCTCCTAAATCACCTGACTTGGAAGGCGTCGTTGAAGGCAGTCAGCATCTGTTGGTCACCCGAAATATTTGCGTCGCAAGAGGGATTGCAGAGCTGCGGGGAGGCAAAGCAACGGTTATGCTCACGAATTTCAGCAATGAGTTCAAACATGTGAACAAGACTTCTGAAGTAAGTGACTAGCTGTCATTAGTTATTCATTCTGCATAACTGGAAACCTAGTTTTACAATTGAAAAAAAAAGCATCTATTCGTGCAAGCAACCGAACGAGTGCAGAGAGAGAGGAGAAGGAGAGAATGAAAGAGGCAATGTTTGGCGAAAAGAATTTTTCGGTAAAGACTTTTACCGGCATACCCATGACAGTGCTATGCGCTTTCATAAAATAGTTCGCATGCTAGCTCATTTGAATGCTTGTGCGACACACACAAAAAAAGCTAAATGCGAACGTGCATGATCTAAACATGACATGACCATTGATAAAACAGGACACCATCCACTCCTTTTATTACTTCTGCCTCGTGTGTCCCCTATGTTGTACGCTGCTTCATTAGGTGACTGGAAAACAACATATCTGAAGGGGCTGCCAACACGCAGATACCTTGACAGAAGATTGTCCCGTGTGTTAGAACTCACCTGATAATGTCAATATCGACGTGTCAAATGCTTCGATTAGTAAATATGCGCCACATGATGTAGGCCTGGTTTCAGTTAGACAGTAGCCTTTAAGCATGCTTGTGTCTTTTTCTTGCAAGATATTTTGCGCTCATTCTGCTGTCTTCGGGTTTTTTGTTTGTGACATCGTCAGCATAATTCATTATCTAATATCCAATGTGCTAATGAATATAAGCGTAGTATTATTCAATATGCGCGCTAGTCCCTTTTCTATATGGGACAGCTAAGTGGTTATGAAAGGGCACTTCAGCACTTCTTCAAGTATTCATCGAAGTACCTCATTGAAGCAGTTTATTGTTTCACGAATCAACAACGGCATTTTTTAAGTACTCCAAGAGGGGTAAAAGTGAATTGGTTTCATCTCACGCTTAAATCACTTCTCCTTGTTTACCGTACCAGGGAGCATACGGAGAAGTGCGGAGTGAGGGGGGAATGACGAAGGTGGCCAGAAGTTGTGTCCATTCAACAGAGAGCGTCATGACCTGGCATTTTTTTTTTAAACGGTAGAACTGCTTAAAGCGGCGCTGCAACACTTTTTCAAGTGGCCAGGGAATGGATACGATAATGGAGCTTATTCACTCACGACTTTGCCGCCGCAAAAATTTTTAGCGTGTCCAGTACTAGCAGAGTTCGAAAGATTTTTTTAGATGTTGCAATTGCCTTCTTTCTTCTCTCGGCCCGATGAAAACATCGGAAACTCTAATCCTACCAGGTTTGCCTCAAACAACTACTTTTACTACCGCATGCACGCACTAACTACGGCAAGCATACTACCATATTTGCAGCTATCCAATTTTGGAATTCAGTACCACTAAGCACTAAACAATTGTCATTAGCTGCTTTTAAAAAAGAACTTAAACATCTCATCTCGCAATCATAACTCATCTTCATTTTTATATCGGCGTTCTCTTACATTTACAGCTATTACTGTGTGCGTTATTTTCACATTTATTACCCATGCACATTGGAGTTCCTTTAATAGCTGTATATCATTAATTAACGTCATTTTGTTCCCGATTCTACTGCCATTTTTATTGTATGTTTCGTTGTTTTCATAGTTATGCACAACTACTGAACATTGTTTTGTTACCATTTTTACTGGCATGTTTTATATCATGTTTGCGTTGTTTTTGTTACCATCAATAATTACTTAATCGCTTTTTGCTGCCATTTTGTTGTACTCATCAACATGTCATTTTCTAACAGGAGGTCCCCTTTCAGCCTTGTGCTATAGGACCTCCTTCTGTATATACTACCCCAATGCGTGTATATTTTTTGCGACAAATAAACTCAGTAGAGGAACATGGCAAGGGGAAAGAAAAGTGCTCAGGACCTTCCCTGTGTCTTTTTTTTTGTTCAAATAGCCGCTTTTGAGTGCGATTGCACTCACACGCGTGGGCAAGTAGCGACCTGCCGCGGCAGCTCTAGTGATGACTGTTTGCGCCATGCTCATCATCACACGAAGGTCATCGTTGCGCGAAGATGTCCTGCTCTTCAGGGGCTATTCTTAAACATTCATGAGTAGTAAATGTTGTAACTAGAAATGAAAAGGCTTGATGTCGCACAGTTAGGGTCCTCGATTGAGTCCTGATTAGCCCTATTTGTCACGCCCCGGAGATATCTTTCAGGCAATGACAAAAGCTTTTTTTACTCCTCGGCTAAGGTCATTGAGCAATCAGTAGAGGCGCAATGTATTTTACACCGTAATTAAACAGAAAAATCAAGTAGGTTGTGTGCTGTCGCATAGTTAACAGTAATTCGCACGGTGTACCTCACAATATTTGGTTGAGAGTGTCGCACAATATAATGTCACCTGTCTTGAAGTTGACAGAAATGTAATTCAAAAAGCAAGGGTCGCTTTGTAATACTTAAATATTTACGCATGAAATGGACATTTATTTGTGAAGTGCCAACTGTTGAGTTTTCCGAAGGTACCGATGTTATTGTTCTATCCCTATAGACGTCTGTTTGTACGAGAATGCAGAGGACAACATCCGTGAAAGTAATTGCTCCCGCTTGTTTAAACGCCAACCCGTATTTCGATTTTTGCGTGCCAAGGCATTATAAGCTTCTCAAATTGATGAGGAGCTGTGCCAAGTTTGTGGGCTTAAAGTAATGAGTGAAGAAAAAGCCAGAAATTGGAGTCGAGAACTCACAAATGGTGGCGCAAATGTTAACAAAGTAAGAGGGAAGTGGTGGAAGTTTCAGAATCAAAATGAGTCCAAGTAAACCGAGAATTTCAATTAGAAGAATAGCTGAGTGCTGCTGGTCTGGGGAATAAACGTCCTCTTGTTGCAACACTACGGTTCACATGGCAGTAACTGAAAAGCTCGGATATCGCAAACCGTGCACAATGTGGTATCGAAAATGCTTACCGACCAATGCAAACAGAGAATAATTTCCGGGTGGTGAACTTCAACACACAAGGTCTAAAGAGACTGGTGCAGCGGGAAGAAGAGCACGTAGATGTTAAGGAATGTTTCGTCGAAATGTAAAGTAGACTTGTACTAAACACGCGAATGAAAACTTTTCGCGACGAACGTTTGTTTTCTGGAGACGAAATGGCCATTACTTTTTTGAATAGGCCTCGTACCTCTGCAGGATGATCTCCACTACATCAGCCACTTGTTTGTTGGAGTTTCACTGATATGTTGCTTTCTTGCAGGCGAAGATCAAGCACGTGGCGGAAGCAACTGAGCCGGACGTTCGTCTGCATAAGCGCTGCTTGCAATCGGGCATCCGTCATCCGCGCACCGGCCCAGGAAACCCCGTGCACGAGCAGATATTACAAAAGAGTGCGCTGCGGCTTCCGAAGGCGTACTGACTTCAGGGTGCATAGAGCGATGTTCACAGTGAAACCTGGTGGCAGTGGTTTCACTGCATGCGTGCAATCTGCTCGCTCACGTCTGATGTATTTCCGAGGTGGGCGTAGCTGCGTTTGAGGCGTACTAACGGAAATGTTCCGGCGTATAAATAGGGGTGAACTCCTGCATTTTGGACCGTCGTCGGTGTCTTGCGCATTCTAACACCCCGTGCTTTCATACAAAGTCGACCGAAGAAGCATCAAAGATGTGGCGCCTTTCTCTCATACTCTTGGTTGCAATTGCCGGTGAGTGTTCAACGCGATCGGTAAACAGGCGCTTTTTAAGATACATTCTTTGAGAAAAAATAGTTAGACAAGGAAATGTTTTTTTTATTGTTCAGTGTGATGAAGGTGCAGTAACACATTGCATTGATCAAAAAAGCCTCTAAACCACTATGAAAGTCTTTAGATTTTGCATTGCATTTACTGGTTATTGTTACAATTAACCCGTATAGCATTATTTATGTTGGTAAGTTCTACTTTATACCTGGGCATGGAAGGTGACTCTGCTAGACCGCAACATGACAAAAATCTTCGACTGTGACGTGCCTCATAACTTTAAGTATATAGTGTGTTTGTAGAGAAACCTAAGTAAATGTAGCCGAATGTGGTGCTTCAACCTGGCGTACCAGCTTAGTTTCCGTGGTGTTCTGGCTTCAGTTGGAGTGGTAACGGTAATAACATTAAATGCGGTAGTATTAGCAGTAGTATAGTTGAGGATATTATTAATATTGATAATAAATGCCGCTAAGTAATTTGTTTCTTTCTTCAGTTTTGTCCGTGTGCTCACTTTGTATATTTGGTAATCATTTTATTTGCACAAAGATGTGCACCACCCCGTGACGTGGAAGGCTAGACTGTGAGAAAATATTTGCCTTATGCGTCTGTTATGCCAACACCAAAGCGCAAGAGATGGCTGAGAAATGAAAGGACTGGGGGAATGAGTAAAAAAATGCACACACGGAAAGAAACGCAGGATTGTAGCAGATATGAGACGAGGCCAGTAGCATGAACCACTAGAGGACTATACTTTGAGGGATTCCGAACCGAGATACAGCGCTTGGCAATTATCTGCCAGTCGTGTTGTTTTAGCGTAGGGACAGTTTCATCCAAAGCTTTCGAAGCACATTCGGTGCCAAGCAATATAGCGGTTCATTTTTGGTATGCTCCTACTCAGAGTTTCATGTTTGACTTAGCTCGGCAAACCTCCGCACATTTTCATTAACTTTCATATCATCGAAGTAAAGCGTCTGCTTGATACTTTGAAATAGAGGCCTCACTGAAACAACAGCCACAATGACACTGTGTACCATATGCACACTGGGTACATACCCGCGGAACTTACTACATTCCCCTTTGTTTTATACATTCGTCCGCAAAACTACATTTCAATTTATTTACACAATTCTCCCAGCGAGCTCCATAGAACGCCGACAGAGAGCTCATTTCCGCAGCGATCAATACAAAGAACCCATTTAATTTTCTTGAATGCACAGATATGGGCCTCTCCCCTCCTTACACCTATGAAACTCCTGTGTCATTGGTGGCATTGTAGAATTGTAACACATTCCTCTCTAGTCTTCGAAAATGGCTGTAAGTTTACCATGAAATATCTGCTTGGAAAAACCCGCGGTCACAAATTTATCATGCCCTTCATATACACTGTTGCCTGCCCACAATGTCACATTACGACAGTTCGCTTGGGTTCGTTTTGCCCTATTTATTGAACAACATGGATATTTATTGAATTGAAGCCTGAAGAAAATTTTAGTGTGCATCTGTTTACGCAGAAATTTCGTCGGCTTTGTGCTCTTGGGTTCGCATTGACACAAAACCAGAAATTGAAAGTTTGCATTGGTTCCAAGATTGCGATACGGCGCCTGATTCTGAGTAGCGAAACGTGACTATGCCACAGCGATGAGCCTGGCTTCAGAGACCAGTCGCCCAGAGGCTCAACTACAAAGTACGTTAATACGGGCCTCTAGATATTGTCTAGCAATGCTGAACCTCAGAAATATTAAGGTACTATTCATGTTATATGATACTTCACTGTTAATGGCTCAGCACACGGTTATTCCTCGTCGGGCCGGAGCACAAATATCAGCTGCTATAGAGAACACTTCTTCAGGAAACGCCTTGTTTGTCTTTGTGTGTAGCAGCATAAGCAGGTCGTGCTGTTCACGCAGGAAGTACCTTCACTGCGATGTAGAAGGATGCACATTTGGGTGATAAGGTGATCGCACATTTTGTAAAGGGGCAGCGTGGATCTAAAACGAGGGAAAAAAGAACGAAATCTCAGTTCAGGCACACTCACCGCTCGTCTTGTATACGTTTGATCTTCCTTCGATCGGCGTTTCACATCCGCGCTGTTGCTTCACAAGACTTAGAGCGATCTATCGGTTGACCTGTCTCAGTGAAAGCGTGTTCTGGTTTGCATTTTCCTGTAGGGGAATAAAGTGGGTTGTATTTTTTAATAACAGAGTATTTGTGGAGTAAGTGAAAAAGAGCAAGAAAACTACAGTCGTTCCCACTATTCCTGGCAGTCGGTATCATGCGAAGCAGTAGGCAAATAGTGTCCCATACAGCACTGTTTTTATTCCATCGATTCAAGCGCTGCGAGTTGGCACCGACTTCTTTGTGCGTTTTTAGTGATGTGTGTCTCGTGGGCAGGCCCGTTCAGAGGAATTTTTTTTCCGGAAGAGAAAGTGCAGTCCTATAGTCAAAGTTCCCCGCTTCTATACAAGTGCATTTTAGAATAGCAGACTTAGAACATTTGAAACCCCCCCCCCCCCCCCCCTGTACCACTTGACATTAAAGCCTAAACTATTTGGTAATTGTGCCTGTTTCAGGAAGCAATTATTTAAACGTTGAAGAAACTAATAGCTACCTCCCTCCTCTCCTGGATACAAGATTGATCATAGGTTTACAGGTCAATTTCAGTGACGCCCTAAGGCATCCAATGACACGGCGTACCATTGGCACTCACGTTAGAGTACATATGTCAGTTTTATCGAAATGGATTGCACATTGCTCTGCCATGATTCGCATATAATAAGAAATGCTTTCCGTCGTATTCCTCCGTATTGGTCAAAGGTGAAATCATAGGCATATACATGTAACGTTCTTTTCATTGTAAGCAAATCCGGTAGCGTACACTGCAACCAGTTTGACGTTGCCGTCATATGAGGCTAGTTTGCGTCTTTTTTCATGAGCAGTTCGAAGTATTGGCGTAGCTCTGGCATAGAGTACTTGATTACGATGTATAAAACATGGGCTGATATAGTGATTCGTATGTGGGGTTTAACGTTCGAAAATCACCATATGCATACGAGAGACGGTGTAGTGGAGGGCTCTGGAAATTTTGACCACTGGGGGTTCTTTAACGTGCATCCAAATTTGAACGCTCGGGAGGTGAAAATGCAGCCGCCGCTGCCGCGATTCGATCGCGCGACCTGCGGGGCAGCAGCCGGGTAAGCAACCATAGTCACTAGAACACCGCGGCGGGGCAGAAAGCTTGGCTTTGATTCCAGCTATCACCGCAAATAGATATTTGGATAGATAGATAGATAGATAAATTGATAGATAGATAGATAGATAGATAGATAGATAGATAGATAGATAGATAGATAGATAGATAGATAGATAGATAGATAGAAACTGCCAAAGTGGCATCAACTCACTTAGAAATGCTGCGCGCTTAAAAAAAAAGAAAACTGAGAATACACGATGTATCGCCAAACTTTCAACTACTTTATTTTCCGTACACCACTCATTACGTATAGTGAGAAATTAGTCCACAGCAAGGGCGTAGCACATGGGAGCTATCACAGAGATTTTTATAGCTACTTATATTGAACACGAAATTCAAAAAGCGTTATTGTTATTTCCATCAGCATAGTTTACTGACAATGGCGTTGTGTGCACTGTAATTGTTCCGAATCGATAGAGAGATTTGGAAGAATCATATCAAGTGCAAATGTATATCTAATTTAAAACAAATTATTGTTTTAAGGTATCTGCAGCCTCATAGATGTCTCATGTCAAAGCCTCTTGTAAATATCTGTTGCCTCATTCTGCGCTAGGTAACCCGAAGGTGGATATGCAGATATTCAAAAAAAAGTTACCCTATTTAAAAAAAAATCAAAAACTAGTGTTTACCTGAGAACACTTCCCAACGGATATATAAGTGCAAACAATTACTGTATGAGTATGAGGCCTAAAAGAAGAAGGTAGACACACTAGACGATCGCCTCTTACTTTGAGGCGTCTTGAATGTGTGCTTAGGATCCACGGTAATGAAATATTTAAAATGCCTTACTCGAATGAATTATTTGGTGAGTGAATAATCATTTAAATTTAAAGGTTACCTGAGACATTTGAACTTGAAGCAGTAAAAGATTGCATGAAGCTTGAATGTTCAGAAGAATCATCTATAATTCATGCTTGTTCTGCCGTTCCTTTATTTTATGCCTCATTTAACGCCGAGAAGGACAGTTTTGGCAGCGTATGCCACCCTGATGTAGAAAAGCGTGCTTTTGCGAAACATAACTTGCCTTGATAGGTTAGAGAAAAGTTACTTTATTGAACGCTCGTGGTAAATAAAGAAACGCTGACCCGAGCAGGTCGTCAGCCACCGCAACCTGTCAAGCCTTTATATACTTCCTCGACACGTGCCGACCAAGCTCAGACAGACACCCCAGACGCGTCATTTTGTTTTTTTATAACTATATTCCTTCATCGTGCCGCCATTCACTACTCTCGGCTGCTGTGACGAACCGTCGGAACTTTTCCAACCGCCGGACCATTCTTTCTGGAATCATCTGCGTGGTAGCATGCAAAACATGTCATTTATACCACTTGAGCATGTTTTTGTTTACTCAATGAAAACATCCGAGAACATCGTAATGAGAAAAGTTGTTGTTCTTTTTACGAGCGTGAATAATCTCTTGCGGCGCCGTTTCGTATTTAGCGAAGTAACCGACATGCTAGCTGTGGCTGGCATTCTCAGGATTTTGACGTGACCACGGAGCACTTTTCAAGGAAACGTGATAGCTGATTTACTGGGATGTTTTCCTTTGACCGGTGCCTGAAGCGTCGCGTCTCGCACGTTCTCTCGTGTAGGTGTTGCGTTAGGGAATTCCTTTCGTGATCTCTTCGCAAGGCGCCACGCCGTAAACACACAAAGGAGACAGTAATATCTTATGAGCTTTGAGCGACTTGGTATTTTACTGTGGCAACTTAGTGTTTTACACGCACCAGCTTACATGCATGTCTGTTCTAAGCGGAACGTCCCATCGACGCGCAATGTTTACAAGATGATTACCGACCTTGGGAAGATCATTATGATGATGATGGGATCAATATTTGCTCACACGTTTTTTTTTCTCGCTAATTCATTTTAAACGTCAGCATGTGCCAAAATCGTTTGCAGGCACGTAATACTTTCATGCACGTATGCCGTGGTAGCGTAGTGGTTGCGGGGCTCGGCTGCTGATCTTAATGTCACGGGTGCCATCTTGGTCGGGGCGGTTGCATTTCGGTGGGGGTGGAATGCAGGAGGCCCGTCTACTGTGATACGTCAGTGCACGTTCAAGAACTCTAAATGGTCGAAAGTTGCGGAGCCCTCTCTTGCGGCGGGCCTCATAATAATGTCTTGATTTTGGTACTTATATCTCCACGCATTATTATTATTATTATTATTATTATTATTATTATTTCTATGTTTACAATTTATACTTTTAAGAGTAAAATTGACACTGAAGTTTTGTTGATTCACCTCTGACACATTTTTCCCCTCTTCACAGCTGCCGTAGTGGTCAGCGCTGACGTAAGTGCCCTACGTATTTTTTATCGGACTAAATAAAACGAACAGATTTATCCCAGTAGATTCAAGTTACTTCAATACTGAAAGCAAATTTTCGATGGCGTCGCTACCACTGTTGTCATATTGTTTCACATACACTGAATCGCGTGTATACTTTACATATGCATGGGGGGTATAGGTAATGCAACTGAAAAAGGCAAAACCTACGGAATATTTCTTGTAGTTGTCACTAGATTATTTCGCAATTGATTCTTTTAACACTTTGCACCACACCTCAATGTTTCCTGTCATCATTAAACTGCAGTAAAACATTTGGTAATGTACGCTATACCCTTTTCGGTTTTATTGTCATAACTTGGTAGGTCATTAAATTGGATAAAAAGAATAACCGAGTGCCTCGCCTGAATCTGTTCGTTGTATTTAGTCCGACAGCGCTTCTTGACATTATATACCATATCAGCTTGATTTAGAGCGCAATCTTTTATTCTCAAGAAATTCGGTCAAGTAAAAAAAGAATGCCAAAATACAACTCACAGTAAGCAAGGAATCTAATTTCACTCGCACAAGCATAAGTACAATTTCCTGGCAGTGAAGGTGCATCTGTGTACTTGCGTCACATTCGTTGTAGGGCACACTGATAGATTTGGCGGTTATATTAATGCTGTCGTTCTAACTGATGCAAAACACGAGTGCTGTTTGAGCACAGTAATTGCAACATTCCGAGTGCGAAGCAATAATCTTCGCTGCCATTGTCTCCTATAGAGAGAAATTATTATTCAAGTTCCAATAAGATGTAGGTAACCATCTTCTCGCAAGTGCTGATGTTGCCTATCAACATTGGTGCAGTGACAATAAATGTTACTGGCAAGTGTTTTATATTCAAAATATCGTGCGTACTATAACGATTGCTTAATAACACATAGTACTGCATTCGCAGTTCAAGGCAGATTTAAAGAAAACTCTAATTGTCAATGAGGAATGCCTAGCAGAGTTTGAATAGCTACGAAGAATATTAAAGCTACCATTGCCATTAGACGCAGCTGCAGCAGTAATACCGTTACGCCTGAAAGACCTTTTTACTCGTGCAACCTCTGATTATTCTTGTAGAATATTTTGCTAGGCAAACGTTCCCAGCATTTCTTGGTAAATAAGTACCAAACCGTGGTCAAGATGTCACATAACAACGCTGGTGGTGCAATCTCCGAGTTGAAAATGTCCTGACTCTAATGAACAGCTCATTATTTTCGGTCCCGCTTCTCGCAGCGTGAATGAATGGAAATGTTTTCGAAGCGTTGTACGCAACCACCTATTTTAGATGCGGAAGCATCTTATACTCGCGCCTTGTAGTGCGCCGTCCGCGTCGTCCGCGCCGTCCACACCGCTTCTCGAACATTCGACAGCTGACGCGCGCGCATGCGCCGTCGCGCCGTCGCCCACTCTTCCACCATCTGTGCATCCCTTCCTCCTCTACACACCGCGCGCGCTTCACTCCTCCACCATCTGTGCACCCTTCCTCCTCTACACACCGCGTTCGACATCTACGATTCTCCTGATTCTCCAGTGGACGCGCATGTGGCGTCGCGCTTCGAGAACATTCAACAGCTGACAGTGCATGCGCCGTCGTGCTGTATATATACTCAAGGTTGGCGCTCGCTCGCTCAGTTGCCGCTCGTCGGTTGGTTTGTACGGCGCGTCGACGTCCAAGGTCGCGGTGAAATGAATTCCAACGAATCCACAAACACAATGATCGACGTCCCTTCGACCTGCGCCGCCCTTTCGCATACGTGTGTACGTGTTCACTCATTTAACACCCCCTCCTACAACCACGTTAACCAATTTAGCCATCGACCCAAGTAAGTCGCAATTTAACACCCCATTTCACAACCACGTTAACCAATTTAGCCATCGACCCAAGTAAGTCGCACTTTAACACCCCGTTAACCAATTATATGGTCCGCATCCTCCTCAGTGTTCCCCCGAGAGAAGCTGCGGGCAATTTTTTTACTTGTGACGAGGGCGCGTTTGACTAGGTAAGGACGAAACAGGAACGTAAACACTTGGCGGCTGTTCCGAATAGCTCGGATTTAATGAGAAGCGTCATTTGGTGCATTTCAGTAGAGCACCACTTGGGGACTTGCCAACTCGACGATGAAATCATTAGGAAATAATTATAATGACACGTAAGCCTGCGTGTTGTGCTTTTTGTTCACTTCTGCGTAAGTGCTGGTTAGATATTTCAGACCACAAACAAGTTATTCATCGAGAAAGTGTGGGTGCTTTCTATTTACTTAGCAGACATAACACTAAATATAGCAAAAGCCCAAATAGGTCAGCTAGATGTTTTGAAGAGCTGTCTTCAGAGAGCTTTTGATGCTTTCGTGCCTTGTTAGTAGGAAGTTGACGACTGACAGCATAGGGCCTAGATAAAATGGCAGCAGATTCACGGCTTTGGGCACGTGTGCAGCGTTTTCCGAATGTCTAAGCCCAAATGAAATGTCGTTCAGTAAGATTACCACACATTATATAGCTCGAGGATTGACGCGCGTATGTCTCTATAGGCCTAGATGTTCAACAGGGGACAAAAAGGGGAGTGCTTGAACTGATTTCACAGTGCAATCATTCATTTCACAAGTAAGTTAAAAACAGAATCATATGAAAAGGCAACGTCTTAAGAAGCGAATTGTTTGCAGTACGGGAATGACTGCAGAACCAAGCAACACTACAGACCATTTTCACCTGCACACCTCCGCCTGATAGGTTTTAGATGACCCAAGCCAAGAGTACCGTGCTCACCCACCACTTTTGTTTTGGATTTCAGAGGAGACTGCCCAAGTTCAATTTCCGTCCGAGGCCTAGCCGCGTAAGTACGCATGTTTATTAGAACAGACCTGTGTATTCACAAGGAAGCGTTACGTAGCAAAAAAAAGATTCATGTTATCACTTTCCTACTCCGTAGCTATACAAGATGCAGCAGTCATTGTACCCTTAAAATGCTTATTCAATGACCTTTGGTGCTGGTTTTTACATGTATTGCGAAGACAGAAACAAAACAGGCAACAAGAATCGAAACTCACCTTTAAGGTATTCTGCAACGAAGACGCTTAATCTCTTGCCCCGGCAAAGGTATCACGAGGAAACTTGCACGCGTGTGTCTTCATACAGTCATAGCATGAACATCTCTTTTAAAAATAAATATAACTGTTAAAATTTAACGTCCAAAAACTATCATATAATTATGAGAGACGCCGTTGTGGAGGGCTCCGGGAATTTCGACAACTTGGGCTTCTTTAACGTGCACCTAAATCTAAGCACACGGGCCTCAAGCAAGTTCCCCTCCACCAAAAATACGGCCACCAAAGCCGGGATTTGAGCCCATGACTTGAGGGTCGGCAGCCCGGTGCCTTAGCCACAAGACCACCATGGCGGGTTGAGCCTATATTTTCTAGTGTAAGTTGAGTGCAATATTGGCGAATGGGCCATGCGTATGACACAATTGCGATTACTGCCGCTTCACAGTGATAAACCAGACGTGCCACGGCTGAGAGCTTTGCCCTTCGCATTGTAACTGTACTCGTGTAATCTGTCATAAAGACTTCGATTCTTTGACCTGAATGCATTTACTATCCTCCACATATTAAAGGAAACTGGTAAACGAGAGTACAACCGTTATTGACAAATTCAACAATATGTTGTTTTGCTCTGAGTGAAAAGACCAACACATTTCTCGATGATGTTATATTGCCATGCATTCCAGCATGATTGGGTGCAAGAAACCTCACGTGAACAACCTCTCTGTGACCTATGTGTTTTTTTTTTAGTTGTAGAAAAGATAGTGCACGTAAACAAGGCGGCGCGAGTGCACCGAACTTCCCTTTCACCTCTTATCCCCCGAAATTGTCCACGAGGGCGCATTCTCGGGTAAATCACATCAAAAATGCATGCTCGCAAGCAACACAACCGTGCTAACAACGCCCGTTCTATACAACACTGGAGCGACACCACCACTTGATTTTCGCGCCACGCAAGCTGACGATTTGTGTATTGCTCAAAGTACGCTCCCTACTTCTCTGCACGCTGCTACTAATCAGATAAAAAATCATTGCACAGTGACAAATAACAATGACAATCAACATCATATTACAGCATGGCGTCTAACCCGAATGTATGGAGAGAGATCAAAGCAGCCGCCCTAGTTGACTAAAATTAACCGCAGCCATCTACTACAACGTCCTTCAATGCTTAAGTCACTTTGAGACGCTAAACAGCATAATCCAACCAACCGACGAACGAGCTTTTATTGTTGCGCATCGAGTGCACTTAGGCAGTTCCTTATTCTTGAAGCCTTCCTTTGTAGATTAACATGCATGTGCACAAGAGGAGAGAAAGATGAGAGAGGTCATGATCCTCCAACCTACCCGAGGGCAGCGTAAGGTCTGCCTCTTACCTTTAATCAGTCGAACCTCTCTCGCCAATGCTTAAAGGGGCCATGCGTTACATAGTTGCCCAACAAGTTGTCGTTTCCAGAGATAAATAGTAAAGAGCGAAGTAGGCGTGCACATATTTTATAATGCCGGCCGAAGGCAACTGATGGCCTTGCGTAACAAAAGCCATTTACTTCCTACTTTTACACCCGGGAAGACGGGGACAAAATGCATGTCGTTGTGGCAAGCACACCATCGCTTCATTTTCATTTTGGCATGTGCTTTGAAGTTAACGACAGGGCGGAGGGAGTAAGGGAGGGCTGAGTGCAGACTTCCTCCCCCCTCCTTAATTGGGAAGCCTGTGCACGCCCACGGAGCTGGAAAAATTACGCTCAACTTGCAAAGAGTAGAAACAAACCAGGTGTACGTGATATCACGCGGCAGCATTTTTCAGGCGATGTGATATCGCATGAATATACAGAGTAATTTGAAAAGACGTGTCTTCGGCAGGGCTCATTCTTTGGTATGTTTATTCAACGTCGTGCATTTATTTCGTTCTTTTTCAATGCCTCGCCAAAGGTTCCATGCAAGTTAGACAATCGGTTCACCTCAGGTGGTTCGAGTGAGAACCGTGCAGGTGTTAAGCCAGTGCACAATCCACTGGAACGCTACATCATTGCCACAGGTCGGGTGACATCTCGGGAAATGCGCTGGACTGTTTTAAAATTTCGCGGCAGCTAGTACCCCATAGAAACCGTGACCTACGCAGGGCATGCAACGGGAGTGCGCAAATTCAACTGCGTGCACGTGAAAGAAGCGAAGCTTTCTATGTTAAACTATTGCGCATTTATATTCCGCAAGATATTCAAGCAGTTATCTTCTAAGCACGTAAAGTAAAGCTCGCCATTAATATTGATTGCGACTGTAATTACGCATAGGCTGATGCCGCATTTCTGCTGGCGCCACCGCTTGCTCGGAAATTAGTATGCAGGCATCATTTGTACGGGATTCTTGGGCAATTCATTGGAGCTTGAAATACTACTGCGTGAATCAGACACACCGTGTCCGCTAAACTACGGCGCAAGCGGCGTCGGATGGTGTTTCATATTTCGCTGCTGCAGAAGCGCTGCGCGCGAAGCACTACGCATGCTGTCTTCTATTGCCGTAATCTAAGGACAGAAAGCTTTACAAGGAAAAGCACTCACAAATTAGACATACCAGACATGTTCGCTCTCCCTGCTGACGCTCGTTCTACGTTATGTCACAAGAAAAGTTTAAGCCTGACCAACTGATCAATTTTTCCAAGTATGTTCAGAAAGAACTAGAATTGTTGCGGATCTATACTGTTTTCACCGTGGTGCAGCCAGCAAATGTCACGTATAGATGTAGTCGAGTACTTCAACAGGCACTGATGGCTATCAGCCGTTTCCTGCCGGTCTCACTGTACATTCATTAAAGTGCTACGTCAACCGCATCATTGGCGGCGCTGGTTCTCACGCCAGTGCTGTGTGGCCAACTCCTGATGAATGCTAGAGCATTCTCCACTCTGAGAGGCGGAATCGCCTAGTGCTGAGTTGAGGTTAACGATAAGAGCTGTTATTGCCATACTTGTTGCTTTGGGTTTAGGGCAAAAATGTTACTTTTTTTTGCTCACAACAACATTTGTTACGTAGTGTTACAAAGTCCTTCCTGGTGGATTAGTGGTTACAGTGCTCGGTTGCGAGTCTGAAGGTCACGGGCTCAAACCAGGCTGCAGCGGTTAAATTTCGGTGGAGACAAAAGATTAGAGGTCCCTCTACTATGGGGTGTGAGTGCACGTTAAAACACACAAAATTAATAAAATTTCCTGGGCCCTCCAATGCGCCGTCTCAGTAACGTATTGTGGTTTTGGAACGGCAGTTTCAAACCATAACTGATGTCACCTAGCAGCGAAAACACTTATCACCGCATCATATGCATCTGACTTCCCATTTTTTGCAGTTCCGCTATGACGTAAACGTTGGTGCAGGGGGTCGCAATCTGCGCAACTTCGAAGGTGGCGCAGAAGTGCGCGGCGAATACGACGTCTATCGCGCACAGAACGGTGCCAAGGTGGTCGTCGGTGGAGGCGTCTCGCAGGATGTGCTGCGCCAACAAGGAAAGACCTACAAGGGCAAGCCGGACGCCAACGTCGGCATCGGAGTTGAAATACCCATCGGGAAATGAAACACATATTATGTCCTTGTATTTAATTAAAAACAACGCCAGTGCACCAAACGTACTGCTGTGTTAAGCTATAGTATTCTTACGTTGTGTGTCATAAACAGAGCTCATAGGTCGAGCGCATTTCTCGATTTATTTCGTTATCCGCCATTAGATGATGGGGTCTCATCAACGTAGATATACGCTTGTGTCTCTAGTGTTCTGCCTCACTCGGAAAATACAGCAGATGTACTTCAATACAAATTGAAGGAACTATGAACGCCTGCAACATGTGATCTGGCGATGTTTACACATTTTTAACGGCGTCAAAAAAACGCGAATTAACGTGTATCAAGCCGCACCATAAACGATTCCAGAAATCTTGGCAAAGTGACACCTCCGAAATTGCAATGCATCGTCAAAATTCATATAGAAGCAGCAAAGAATAACAGCACTTAAATAAATAGGCCTCATTAGTTAACGGTTTTGATACACTTAATACTATTGGCCTGTTGCAGCAGTTGAGTTTCCGCTTGGACGAAAATGAGGCTACAGCACTTAGAAAAGCAGTGGTTCCGTCTTTTTTTTACATTGTAAAGATATTATGAATGTTCCAGCACGAAGTCGGCGTACGCAGGGCGTTTAAAAAATGTGTTGAATTTCAATAAAATTAAGGAAACACAATATTTGCTTACTTAGTTCATATTTCCTTTCTAGGAATGCAGGCGCTTCGCCACTTTGTGCCTTTTGTGATGTCAGTGACCTTGAACACTTTAGTTAGCTTTGCCAAAATTTTCTTTGGGAAAGAGCAGCGATGATCTCTAGCTTGTTAGGAGACTGTTCACAGAAGGAAGTAGAGTCTACAAGGGCTAGAAACCATTGAGTGGTACACCAAACAACATGGGATGAAATGCGCTATGAACAAGTCACAGCACGCATGTACGCGTGTTTTGACACGAGCTGAGGAGCACGGCCTGGCAGCATTCATCTACATCCTGAACCTCTCCTTCACGCTTACACTCCTAGATGAATAAAGTTGTCCCTCACTGACATACAGATTCAGCCACAAGTGCCCCAATGATCGCTCGAGCTCGAGCTATGCAATCACCAACACATCTTGTCAGAGAACCCACCCGATAGTGCTCTGAATGCGTGTAAACTAAACAGCAAGTACCAGTGCCATCTTGTCGAAACTCAAGCGTACGCTACAGAATGTTACAAGCCACACTAAACAATAGACATGTACTAGCAATGAATTGACGGAGATTGGCCATAATATTTCTGCAGTCCTTCAGCATAACCAAAATAGATTTACGCCTTTCTTTCCAAGCAACCCCACAAAAGGAAATCGGCAAGACAAATAAAAAATAGACAGATCGCAATATAATGGAAACTGGTGTCCTGCGACGCATGCGGAAGAGAAGGTGACTATAGTGCGATTCTTTTAAAATGCGAAGCATTTCTTAGCGAAATTCGCCAACTTTGAGCTTATCTGTCTATCTGTCTAGCCCCTTGTGACTTCGCGCTTTTCTGACCATAGCGTTATTGAAACTTATACCAAAAGTGGTATGGCATAAAATGACTGTAATACGAACAGAAATAACTTGCCAAAACATGAAAATCATGACTTCTTTGTCATGAACATGGTTTATATATTGCGGCCATTGTGCTCTAGCGGCCGTTTTATTGACTTCATATTTACCGAAATGGCATGATGAGACATTTGTGCACGACAAACATAAAGGAGAGGTGATATTGAGAAAATCATGACTTGCATGTCATCTACAGCAAGACATATATACGATGCTCGAGGTTCATTACGGGCTGTTCCTCTAGGTTGACATGCACGAAATATGGTATTACATGGCTTGCCTGTATGACGAACGGAAAAGACAAGTGGTGACACAAAAATCATTAGAATAATGCGGTTCCAGTCCTGACAAAAGCGCTGACATTATGGCCATCGAATTTAGTACGTCGAGTTCACAAGTCCGTCGTCATGCGTCGCGGTTACGTCGCGGCGTCGGGTTACGCCTACATCAGCTTGCTGCATTGCTTCCAGATGGCATGGTCAGTCTTCTTACGGCCACGAAAGAACAAGACTGTTGCAAAAGAAGTTGCGCTGCACTGTTCCAGAAACGAACGAAGTGATGCTCCGGCGAGTCGAACGCTCCAAAAGCAGCAACAATCACTTTTTCAAGATCCTATTATTTATTATGGAAGGTGACAAACCTAAACTGTGAGCATGCTGAGTGTAATGCGGACCCAGCATCGTCTGTAGACACCGCAGAGAAAGCACGGGCATAAACACCTTACTTTTCTCCATAATAAGTATAGGTCCGCTTTCACTACTACAGGTCACGCGGAAGAAACGTACGCCTGCGACAGAGGCGTAGCGAGAATATTTATTCGGTGAAGTACACACATACCTTATGTATATTCGCACTTGCGTTTGTGCATGTCCATATGCATTCAAGTGAAATAAATAAAATTGTAAGGTGAAGGATTACAGCGCTTGAATTTGAGAATGGGTAGCAGTACAACTTGCATACGTGCGAAATACGCTCACACTCATAACAAAACAAATTACCTAAAGCACTCGCTTACATAAACGAATCTATACTGCACGCTGAGAGATAACCGAACATCGTCAAGAATCCACATGCTAAGTCATGGTGCAATAATCGGAGAGACTGAATATGTTGCGAGCTAATTCATTAGAACACACCACCATTCTAATCGTCGCTTTCGATCCAATGCGTAAGATTCTTATCTACGCTGTTCTCCGCCGTGGGTCGTCTGCATCCTTCGGGAAGTGGTATAATGATACATTGCTATTATTCCAGCGCAGTGCCGCGCGTTTTGACCCAGAGCAATTGCCTTTGGACACCACTTTCACTTTGTCAAGATGGTTGATTGGGCGATTTGGTTTGGTGATTTACGATGAATTGAAATATGAGCGCGATACCTAGAGTGGGACCATACGAAAACCGATAACACACACACACACACACACACACACACACACACACCACACACACACACACACACACACACACACACACACACACACACACACACACACACACACACACACACACACACACACACATATATATATATATATATATATATATATATATATATATATATATATATATATATATATATTAATGAGATCTAACAGATAATGATGCCAAGGAAAATATAGGGGAAGATATAAGACCAAATTGTACAGTAAGTATGAAGCGAAGTGGGTGAAAAGATAACTTGCCGTGGGCAAGACCCGAACCTGCGACCGTCGAATGAAGCGTTCGATGCTCTACCACTGAGCTACCACGACAGCTATCTCCCAGCCACCTTATAGGGTTTATATGTGAATTGAACGTGGGAGTGTCAGTCAGCGCCACCAGTAGCCTTAGCGGCGAGTGTGGCACACTTTTTTGAGCCTGTTTGGCGTCACGTAGCACGTGAACTGGTTACGAGTGGGCAGCTGACCAACAGTCCCTCGTATACAACCTAAAGGCACTAAGTCTGCCAGTACGAGACCCTCGTTAATGAATAAGGAAAGAAGTGTATACCTAAGGGTTCGTTTTTCCGTGTTTTTACACGATATTAATGAGATCTAACAGACAATAATGCCAAGGAAAGTATAGGGGAAGATATTAGACAAAATCGAGTTGTGTGTCATGGCGGGAACAGACGGTGTGCTTCCAGTTTGCGTGTGCGATAGTCACAGATGATGAAATCAGAATGATGTCTTGGTCTCTGCATTGTACAGATGGTGCCTTCTCGCCTCTTTCGTCGTTTTTTGTGGTTTCGGAGCTGTAATCGTAGGCGCAGTCTTGATTTCTTGCGTCAAATACGTTTCTGGCGCCGATCCCTTATGCGAAGATGCATCACGTCTAGAATTTGTTTTAAGAGGCTTACTTTGCGTCGTCGTCCTTGTCGGTGTATTCGTTGGAGTGTCTGCGATTCTAGGACTTACTTTTACTGGCGTTGCTGATGGTGCTGTGGAACGTATTGCGGTGGGAGCCCTTCTTGAACATCGCGCTGGTTTTCTTGACAACTTGATGTGGTGCCCAGTCGGCAGCTGGTTGTCTGTGGGCTGTTGTCATGCAGTTCGGGCAATGAGGATAATGCTCCAGAGTTGGTAGAAAGTTCTTCAGAAGCTTCTTCTGCTCTGTTCACTACGAGAGGCTCTTGCGCATTGCAGCGTGCGACGTTCGATGCGTCTGAGCCTTCGGTGTTGCTTCGACTGTTGAGTGTGTATGCACCGGACGGTGATGCATGAACCCGTGCTGAAGGAGCATGGCTCGAGAGGGTATTTTCCCGGTGCGTCAGCTCCTCTATCGTGAACACGGCGTCCTTATTAGGCAAACGGTGAGCGTCAGGCGCGCTTGAAGAGCCGTGTGATTGAAACCCGGGTAGTGAACCACGTACGCGAGACGAAGAATGAAGTGCATTATTAGGTGGGTAAGCGACGTCTCGTGTCATGTGCTAGAGCGACGACTTTGAAAATACCGGCTTTCGCAAAGAGAAACCAGATGGGAAGCTTATGTTCCTTGAGAAATGAGCGTGGACTGTGACGGCTAAGTGGGATTGTCTCCACATGATCGGTAATAGGGAAATCCTTATTGTAGTCGTTAAAACGGGCGATTATCTCTTCCTTCATCTTCTGCGACGATTCGTCCTTTTCGAAGATGTGGGTAAGGTAAAATTTGAATGCCTCTCCAGTCCCGTAGTCGCTGAAGCTTGTACTCATCTCCCGTTCCAATCATGATGCAGCGGTAACGTGGAACTCCAACAGGTCGAACCAGTCCTGTATAGGTACATCGTCCGCTGCTCCGGTGCACTTGGGGATGGGAAGGTCAGTCGATGGTTCTGTCATGATGCCGGTAACTGCATGCGCCTGAGATCACCTCTTCTGTGGTCGATATTCAGTTCAGGCGTATTGCCGGTGGCTTCGTGAATGATGTGAGGTTGATGAGCGGTGGCCAGGCCTTCATCCTCTCGACTCATGTGACACGCTATGATGAATGGGAGACGTGGCCGGGCTCATACACCATGTTTATTGCATTCTGACTTCTTCCTCCTCAGCTTCTACCAACCATCGCTACCTTCTTACGTTAT